ACCACTGCCTCCCATTGCCCTGAAATAAAGGTTATCATTTAACCACTCGAGCCAAAGTTGGTTTCTCTTTTGGGAGGAAAAGCCATTATAACTGCAGCAGCTTCAGACCTTTGGCTTTTGTGGTCTGTACCCCTCCTTTTAGATCATCCTTCATAGCAGATAAGGTCCCATAGCTGGAGCAGCTCCACATGTATCCAGAGAGACAGAATTTAGAGCTTACTTTCCTGTAGTATTGGACAAGTTTTAGGCACCTCTCACTGCTTCTTCTTGCCAACGCCAGGACTCAAGGCAGAGGTAAAGCCTCGCATTCCCCACAGGAGGACTGACAGGGGAAGGAGCCCTTCCTTATCCAGTGAACCTGTGTGTCCTTTCCAGGCAGCTGTTGGTCCTGCTTACATCCACAGCTGGGCAGATCTGCACAACAGATGCTGAACCCTTCCTTGGTGTCTCATGGCCACGTGTGCTGGCTCTGTACTCTTCAGACATGAGGTGGGCTGTACCTGTGGTTCACATTGCTCAGATCTATTATTCTCCACTGGAATACTAAGTTTTTTCCAGCTCTGAACAATTTATGAAGTTAAAAACCTCTCACAGTTCTCAACGATTCAAAATACAGGTTCTCCTCCCCTTCTTGTTCTCCAAAGCACAGAAATGCACATGTATTAATACAATCAAATGAGTGAGCCAAGTTAATTGGCCTGATTTGGTCTGGAAGAAAAAGCGTATAATTAGAGTGCCAAGTACCAGTACTATCAGCAGTGATATAACACTCGAAACACTGAAGGGACATTCAGTATGACAACACGAAGGCTCCTGAATTTCTGTTGGTGACAGAACTGTGTGCACACAGGGTAGGCAGGAAAGGCAAGCTTCCACATTAACGTGCTTTGGTGTCCTACCTCCTTGCCCTCCACTCATCCCATTGCTAAGGACCCAGATAACAAGCCATCGTCAAGGGCAACAGCGAAGCTGCTTGCTTCCCATTAGCATCCTTAACATTTTCTATCTAATCAGATTTCCTGGTGGTTAAGGAAAGCTGCCTTTGCTCATTACCAGCTGCTATCCCAGATTTCCTTCTCCCTATACCTAATAGAGATTTTGTGATGCTTGCCTGCTATTTTGTGTAAAAAGGTTACATATGCCTGGAGGGACACTGAATGTTACCAAAAAACGTAGGAAAAAAGGTTAAAAAAAAATTTAAAAATAAACCACAAAAACAGAACTGTGGGCAATAGGCCAAGATTCCTGATTATGTGCCTGTGACTAACCAATGGGTGTTTTTAAAAAAACATTTCTCTCATTATTTCTTCTCCTCTGGATGTAATAACACAACTCAAATTAGTTTTCCAGGAGCAGACTTCTTTTATGTAACCATGTTTTATACAGATAGCAGCAGCTTATGTTTAAACTATTTAAGAGAACAAATAGCTGCAAAATGTACTTCAGATGGCCCTTCTCCTGCTAGCACTGTGTTGCTGGCTTGAGGGAAGCTACAAAAACACCCTGTATGTTGCTGCTGCTTGGATGTAATTGTACACAGTACTCAATGCCCACAGGACCTTGCGTTCAGGTAAAGATGTCTGCTCCTCTTGTTTTATTGCAATTCAGAGATCCACAGCATTGTCAATGGTAGAATGACTTTGAGAAAACAGAGCTGAAATGCAGAATGAAGCAGAAGTTCATCTTTTAACTTAGTCCAGAGTATCTTATAGCATTAGGAAACACAGCTTGTTATCTGAACTGTGGCCCAGACTGACATGTCACCCTGCTGGTTATGGGACCAAGTGGAATTCCCACATTTTGGGAAGATAATACTGTTTTGATTTCCCATTCTTCCTCTTCTTCCTTCCACATCTACTCCTTAAGACAGGCTGTGTTTACCATAGTCACTGGACCAATAATTTCTTATACATCCTCCAGGTTGATATCAAACACACCAATCTTCTCTGCTAAGGGGTATCTGATGCACATTGGTGCTGTGAAAAATGCTGAGACTGCAAGCAGGCACGTTGGGTGTCAGGAGAAGAACAAGAAACCAAGACAGGCTACTTTGGGAAAAAAAAGATCCATTTTCTCATTCCTTCTCTTGCTTTTAGGAATGGGCTTGAGATACAAGAAATGAGTCTGATGGACAGACCACCTATTTCAAATACCAGAGTGAGGTGCTGTTCAAGTATTTCAGCAAATAGTAGAACATTCCTCAAACACTCCTGCAGAAAGCCCAGAAAATCTTTTACCTGACAGAATCACACGTGCTTAGGGGATCCAAATCCTGAAGTGATAAAAGGGGTGGCCTGAGCACTTACCCTACCTGAAGACCTGGTTAAAAGGCAGAGAAGAAATTCACCATTAAATATTCAGATGAGTTGCAGTGCTAGAAACACTCAGGAATTGCTATGTGTTCCTATGGCACTGTTCAGGAGGTTAAAAAAAGTATGTTTTTGTATTCTCTGAGTCTTTCAAGTCTGCAGTGTTTCGTACAACCTCTCATAGGACAGTGGCATAATGGAAGTTTCCTGATTGCAACTTAGTTCCTGTACTTTCCAGTATCTTCAAAGATGGGAAAATTGTGTTATCATAGAAGGCTTAAACATTTTTTTCTCATTCATCCTCACAGCACAGCTGAGATATTGACTGCTGGGCTCCCACTATAAAGTATCCAGATAGGGTTTCTGTCAGCTGCTCCATTGGCTCCAATCAACTGTTTCCTGTTTACACTGATAGCATAGTTTGGATAATTTCATTCGGTTTGGATAAATTCATTCAGTTTTTCAGCTTCATGCCAACAAACCACCGAGGATGACACACAGCCTTTTCAGGAGGTCCAACACCACTGTCTGCCCATGTACAGATTTCAAAGGAAAAGACTAATGCAGCCCTAGGCAATCTGAGTTGCAGCAGAGGCTAAAAGGACACAAACATATTTTCCTTCTCATGCTAGAAGCATATTTCTCAGAAACACTTGCATAAATCATGCAACAATAAAAATTCCACTGAAACAATATCCCACAAGTCAGCTGACTGTGGGGTAAGTCAATAGGACCATGGCTTCCCCTGTCAGTAATGCAAAATTCCTGGAGGAAAGGAGAAGGGGAAAGGGGAAAGCAAAAGAAACATTCATCCTCATACACCACAGTAAAAGATGAGAAGTTTTCCCCTTAAAACTAAACATTTTCAGTAAGTATGATTAACAATACCATATGCCATTGTGGAGGGAATAACAGCTGCTGGAAGGAGACAGTATGGAGATTTATGGAGAACCTAAGAAGAGCAACCGTTGGCTTTCAGGCAACAACACAGCAGATCTGATGGTCTCCAGGTCTTCACATTGAGCCTGTACTTTGCATGCTTCTCCCAGCAGCTCCTGAAATCCTCAGTGCTGAACCAAACCACGTTCCCAGGAGACACACAGTCTGGAGACAAAAGGCCCAGCACAAATCTTCCTGTTCAACATGTCATTAGCACATAACTGGATTTATCCACCACACACTATCGTAGCCAAACCAGTCCAGATTTCTCCACCAGGAAAAATCCAGCTCTCAGCATAAGTTCCACTGAAATGACCATCAGCTTCTGCTGGAGTCCTACATGAGCTCAAAGAAACTGTGAAATACAGTACGTGGGTCAATGAGGCGAACTTTGGAGACCAAATCTGTTTGATACAGAGCACGTTTTTCTTTAGAGCTCACATAGAACCTTCAATTCACAACATACCATTTGCCAAGCATACTGAGTACCTTTAGCAGCTCAGCTGTCATCATCTTCCTACCGGATCTTGACATGAACAGTTCTGGGCTCATCATTTACCCACAAACAACACACATCCTGACAGATGATAGGAAATTCATTATATTTGTTAATCCAGAAGAGTGTTATGGGATTCAGCTTTACTCGATGTTTATTGAATTCAGAATTATGAAATCAAAACTCCTATTGAGTCAGCTCCGGAACTGAGAGGAGAATTAGACCCCGTGCTTTCAAAACCCAATTTTAATGTTCAATTGCAGTATCGCCAGAGCAAAAAACCTCCCTCACATCTTACATCAATGTTTCTGTCAGATTTAATATTCGTGGTGAGGTAAGAAAGAAATGCCATTTTAGCAAAATTTATATGTATTTTCTATAAATAAAAACACGTTTCATTTTAACATACATCTACCGGCAGCAGCATCGCTTGTCTGGGCAGACACTGGATCTTATGAAAAAGTTAAAGCCTTGGAATATGAAGCAACAATGAGAAACACACAAGGAACAATAAAATATTTAGAAAAATAGAATTAAATTTGGCTTTATCTTATGTACACTAGACCAACAAGTTAAAGATGTGAATGCCTCATTAATAAGTCCATATTAGTGAACACAGCATGAGAAAAGACCATACCTTTGCTTTCTCTGAAAAGGAAAACATTCTACTCAATTTTTTTCTGCTCTGCATGCATTTCATTTTCCAAAACGCAACCCGGCGTGCATTACACACAGACTTCATCCTGCTTTGCCGAAGAACAGCTGCCATGAGCATTCTCTAGCGCTATGCAGAAGCCTTATGGAGTGAAAGGTGTTGGGGGACAAGCTGAATCTGAGCCTAAGTGCCATTACTTTCAGCAGAGTGCAGCTTCAGAAATGTTACTACAAAGAACCAGCTTAGAATTGATGCTGTTTAAGTAGCAATCGATGCTGTTGAAGTAGCAAGCAACTTTTGGCAGCCAAAAAAAGGGCAGTGTGTAATGATGAGAGCTGAAACAAACAAACTTTATTTAAGAAAAAGCAGCGTCATTTTACTTCTCGTCTAGAATGATACCATTCATGGCTATATAGCCTCCTGTGATAGCTGAATCAGACACTAACAGGCAAGCAGAGGGGGACATGGAGTGCATCACGCTTCCCGCATCAGTTGCACTGCACTGACACAGGCTGGGAAACACACAGCACACTCTAGGGACATACATGGAAAAAGAAAAAGAATAGAAACAAACAGAACATGGATCCATAGTGCCACAAACCTTCCGGCTCTGTGTTCTCTTTGAGGTGCACTTGCTTCAGTGGGCAGCAGAAGATTTCGTGACACTTAGCACGAAAAGGGGACTCTTTTTTCTTTAATTCCGCAGATTGGATCGAATCTTGCCGTAACATAATGTACTCCTGAGTGCCAGGGGGAGCGTCATCCATAACTGTGGTCACCACATAACAAAATGAACTCAAGTTAGAGCTTGAGGAAAGCAATCCAGAGAATCAAATCAACTACATAACGTCGGGGTTGGGGGGGAAGAAAGGAGGGAGAGAAAGGTTTATAGGAAGGAAAATCAAATTTAAAGCATCTCAGTTGTGATGGTAGAGGGATGGGGAAAATATCTATTTTCATATACACTTCTCATAAACATCAACAATTTATATTGCTTCATGCAGCTTGCATTAACAGTAGAATAACTGCTCCAGAAAGCAACACGGTTCTCTCCTAAACCTTTATTCACCTATAACACCCCTATCTATTCTGCATGCAGGTTAAGAAATAAACAAAAACAAAGCATGCTGTTGTGGCCTATCCACAGGTCATCTCTATGTTAACATTGCGCAGCAATCACTCCACATCTGCAGGTAACACAGCAACGGCATATCTATTCCCCAATATAAAGAGAACATCCCTTTATCAGGATATGTAATTACACACAGTTCCTCAGAGCAAGGATAATAAACCACTGACATTTGACTTGATCACCATTTCCAGCGGGTAGAAGAGAAGACGTACAAAGAGAAAGCACATTAATCCTTTTGACAGCTTTCTTGTAATACAGCAAGATGTTTTTTCAAGTTGATCTTATAAATCAATACTGCCATTAATAACATAAATGATATGCAGTCTGAAGCAGTTTCTGAATGGAGTTAGACCATTAAATGGTAAAAAGATAAAATACAGAGCATACAGAAAGCTCCCGCTACCTCAAAGCATTACATTACTAGAAAGAATTAAAACAATTTTCCATTATCTAAAAATGAAGCCCTAATAACAGAGATAGCAAGGTTCCTCAGTTTGCAGCTTTAAGCAACAAATCACCACTCCAGAACAAAAATTAAACACTTTTTAAAAGGACAGTCTGTAACCACTGCTAGTTATTCCTAATGAAATATACAGACACAGAACCACAGCCAAAATCACACTGAGCTTGTACAACCACGTAGCAAATAAAAGCAGCACATAACTAATCCAAGGAACAAGTGAAAACCCGAAGATCAGAAAAGGAACCTTTGACAATGCTGGGCTATTACTGCAGAGGTAGCAGCGCTATGTAAACATTCCAGATTTGGACATGGGTACCCCCAAACAACTATGAACCTCTTGCAGTTTCATTCACTCGATTTTTATTTTTTATCTCCTACCAAGAATGGCATTAGTAAAAGGAGGAAAAGAAACGTATCTAGGAGATAAATAAGTGATTCACGCTGATCATCTTTCCACAATGGGTAGTCACCTTCTTTAAGACCTCAATTAATCCATAGGAGACACTTGGCACCTCAGTGGTTGTTGCTTCATTAGACGACATGCAGTGCCAGTAACACAGGCTAATAATCCACAAAAAATACAATTAAAAGAGATGTATGAGTTAATACAAAGGCACCAACGGTTCAAAAAAGAGCAGGAGGTCACTGGAGCACAAGGCCTGGGCTGCTGGATAATTGCTCCTTTAACAATGCCAGTCTTGCTTTGGCTGGTTTGAAGGTTACACACGTGTTCGTGAAACATACTGACAGCAGCCAAGATGAGCCAAGGACCAACAAGCCCTGATGGGTCTCTCCTTAAGAAGTCACCAAGCAGATGGTGCTGTTGCAGGAGCACACACAAAACCACCAGTGAGCTGTGTACAGTGACACTGACGTCAACAGCTTGAGAAGCCTACGGCACATCCCTCTGACATTTACAGGGATAAAGGATAATGTGCGCCGAGAATCACGGGTAGCCAGCAGAGGAGTGAAATGCACAGCCACCTTCTGCCAACAAGCTGGCTGACCTGCAGCAGAGCGTGCCCCGCTGTCACAAACAGGGTAAGAGATATGGCCCTGGGCTGGCTCCTGGAGTGGCAGAGCCCTTCCAGAGAAGCCCCACTCAGCTGTGGGAGCTGAAGAATTGCTCACAGCACTCACTGCTGTATGGTGCAGGAGCACCGCTTTAGCAAAGCAATACAAACTGTAAAAAAAATACAATATGCAGACAGCAGTTATCAACCACTTAATAGGGTTAACAAGCTACTGGTGATTACCTGCAGCAGGAGTAAGGGTCAACTCCAGCTGCTTGGCAATTGGGTGCTATTGTTCTGAGTTCAGAGGGCTCACACATCTGCAAACCAATTCCAAGGACCAATTCTGTTTATCAAGTGTCTGGCAAAGTGCTTGGCATCGTTAGGTAGCTCCATCCCTCTCTCAGGTATTCTCACTAAGACAGGTAGAGGAGATCTAACTCACCCCTTGCCACTCACATGCTCATCGCCTGCAGACATTATTTTTCACGTGAATAAGCCAGAAAGAACCAGACCTCCAACAAATGACAAACATGTTGAAATCAGCAAACGTACGTTGGCTTACTGGAACACAGGGCTAAAGAGCCCTAATTCTGAGGAATATCATAGCACAGCACTGGTATGTGCAGTAAATACGAGGAATCACAGTTCTAAAGAAGCTTAATGCTGAGATGATGTATGGGTAACATAATTGATACCACTGTTTTGACAGGAACAGCTAAAACCTTTTCTCAACATGATGAATGGCTCCAAGTCAGAAGGAGAATTTATGGCAAAACTAGAAAAAAACCCTAACCCCAAAGCCTCATTTTCCTGCTGTGTTGACAGCCAGACACCCTCGTGGAGTCACTGAAATGACAGCTCCAGATATGGGTGCAAGCCACCAATCCACTGTGAAGCTACAGCCACAGAGAATATAAGCAAAAAGCTCTGAAAAGCTGATGTCCATTTCAATGACTAAAAATAACCAGCGCACAACCATGGAAGGGTCACTGTACAACACCTGTGAATAAACCACTTGGAAATGGCAGAATCTGGTATGATTCTGCTAACAACAGAAGCAATTACCCACCCACTACAGGAGGTAACAGACAGTAAATATTAGGGAAGTAACAAATTTGCAAAGCAGGAATTAAATTACATCCTGTGCTGTGTGGAGCAAATGTCTTGCTTTTACTCTCTGGCTCTCTCCATTACAGGCTGTGCTAACTGCAGGACCAAGGATATTCTCACACTGTGGTGTAACACACACACGCACACACATAACGTTAACTTTAAATCAGCTAATTTGGGGGAGAAATCACGACCACACTCAACAAGGGCAGCAGAAGACCCATGAGAAACCCAGCAGATGCTCCATCACGTGGGTGCTGTCCTCAAGAGCAGTTAGAAGAAACCTCTGTTGAGGCATATCTACATCTCCTTGGCCATCTTCCTGAGGGCAGATGTGCAGTCATCCTGCCAGGCTCCCACGTCCAGCCATGCCTCTGTGATCCTTCAGCAGCTGCTCACCCTAAGTCCATCCCCGTGGGCATGATGCCTCATTTGTCTGCACATCCATCATCTCATGAATCAAACAGGGACAAGACTCAGACACAGGTGATTAAGATACTAATATTCTTAGTATTCTCAGCTGGAAGGCGATTAAAAAAACCCACAAATTCACATATATCTATTTTTTGGAATTTTTTTGTTGTTGTTGTTATTTTTGGTGGGGAGACTGAAAACACAGCAACTATGAATATATGAAAATAATCTGTTCAGTAGTTGGCATAAGATAGCTGCAGTAACCATTATGTTCCCTACATGGAAACATTTAACTTGCTAAATATCATTCTGCAGCACATTCCTGAGTTTTTAAAAAATGAAAATAATTACAATAATAAAAGCTTACTGAAATCAAGCCAGCATAAAAAAAAAAAAAACAACTATTTTCTTCCTATAAGGCTTGGTGAGTGAAAGGAAAGCCATCTCTAAGATGACTGCCAGCACCAGGATGGCTTTTCCAGATAAATTCAAACATGTTTACATTATATAATCACACCAGCTAAATAAACTCTGCTGGTTTACATCTTCCTTTTATGTCCAACTTCATTTCAGGACACTGCATCTAGGATTGCCAGAAATCATAACATCAAGCCTGTCCACAAGCCTTGACTCTGGTTCCAGCCGAACAATCTAATATAATTCAGAGTTTAATAAAGCTTCAAGGAAGCTTTCTTTTCCCCCTAGTTTTCACAAGGACAAGTTCTGCTAACAGCAGGCGGTAGCAGCCATAGAGCAAATCTGTCTGAGCACCCAGGCAAGACAACTCTTCATGCTCCTGTCAGGCTTAGTGGGCAGTATTGGTGGTAGGGGAACAGTTGGACCACATGAACTTAGATGTCTCTTCCAACCTTAATGATTCTATGCGACCTGGTGTAGGGAACCTACTTTGGCAGGGGGGTTGGACTCTATGATCTCTGGAGGTCCCTTCCAACCCCAATAATTCTGTGATTATATGACTCTTCCTGTATTTGTGACACAGTTTAACACAATTTTTGTGCTTCTGTGGACCAACGTTCACTTCCCTCCCTGGCCTTCCAAGTCATTACTGGATACATGATTTTCCTACTTCAGGTTCCCTTGCTTTTCTTATTCTCTTTTACATGCCACCAGCCCCAAGATGCTAATACATGCAATAGATTACTCTGTTTCTAACATTTCAGAGGGACTGAAGTCAGAGCTCTACACTCCACCTTCAACATGATATTTGAGCGCCTCTTAAATCATGCATCCAGAAACAGACTAAAAATCCCCTCATTGGCACAAGGGAATAAGTTATAACAGCAGCAACAATAAAAGCATTCTCCCAACACAGCTCTTTTGGAAGGACAATACAAAGAGTAGCAGCATACACCAGTGATGCTCACTGAGCATCTCCTCCATCCTCTGCCACCCACAGAAATGAAAGAAGGATCAGGAGGGATGTGACCACAGCCTCTGAGGATGGTTGGACCTGTGTAGGATTATTCCCCCCCTCATCCTCCCCTTTTTTACAGAAAACATTAGGATATCAAGTTGCTTTGGGCTCCTGGTGAGGACAAACCTTACAAAATCCTCCTAGCTTGCTTAAATCAGTGCATGCAGAACAGGGAGTGGGGAGAAAAGAGGAACATTTT